GATAATGCAAAATAGGAAGAAATGGTCCAAAGGGGTAGGGGTAGTGGGAGGGGCAGGGGAAAGGAAAGAAGGGGAAGGAAAAATGATGAGAAATGGAAAAACTGGAAACAAAGTCTTTGTAAATAAGGAAGGGTGGAGGGGATGAAGGGAGGGCTAGGAATGGGGAAAAAATAAGAACTAAGATGCATCATGTAAAGGTACAAGTTCCCAATGAGAAATGTAAATGTACTGTATACCTAAAATGTACCAATAAAATAATTTTTTTAAAAAATACAAAAAAGATGCTATCAAGAAATCAGGGGGCGGGGATTTAGCTCAGTTGTTTCGCCACCTGCTGCACAAGCACAAGGAGTCAAGTTCGATCCCTGGTACCAAAAAAAAAGAAAGAAAGAAATCAACCAACAGGCCAGGGATTTAACTCAGTGGTTTCGCCCCCCGCAAGCAGACTGCAGACTGGTGTAATCACTTGATTTGTGGAAATCAAAATGGAGATACCTCAAAAAACTAGGATTAGAGGTCCCATGTGACCCAGCTATTCCTCTGCTGGGTATCTTCCCAAAAGAATTAAAAGCATCATACCACAGCAATATATGGGCACCCATGTTTATAGAGGCACAGTTTGTAATTGCTAAAGCTTGGAAACAGCCCAAGTGCCCATCAACTGGAGCCTGGATAAAGAAGATGTGTTTTTTTATAAAATGGAGTACTACTTAGCCATAAAGAATGAGAAACTAGAGACATTTATAGCTAAATGAATGCACATTGAGGCCATACTCTTAAGTGAAATAAATAGGACAAACATGTAAATACCAAATAGTTTCTCTGGTGTGAAAAACTAAAACTGTAAATAAGGATCGAAATGTATAATTGATAATTAAGATAGGAAGAAAAGGTCTAAAGGAGTAGGGGAAGTGGGAGGGGTAGGAGAAAGGAAAGAAGGGAAAAGAAAAAAACATGAGAAAAGGAAAAAATGGAAACAAAGTCTTTGTAAATATGGAAGGATGGAGGGAGTGAAGGGAGGGCAGGGGAATGGGGATAAAATAAGAACCAAATGCATCATGTACAGGGACAAGTACCCAATGATAAATGTAAATGTATTGCATACCTAAAATGTACCAATAAACTTAATATAAAAAATACAAAAAAGAAAATAAAGAAGGAAGAAAGAAAAGAAAAAGTGTAGTTCTTAACATTTTAGAAATGTATGTAACAAACTACTGAGAGAGCTAGTGGTTGGGCTGTAGAGATTTAGAGATTCCTTATCTAAACGGTATATTATATAAAGAGTATATGATAATCTACACTTTTCAGTGCAGTTAAGACATTGTATAGAAAGAGGAAAACTCACAGGCCAATAGCGTCAGGAAACTGGTGGCCGTGGAAGTCAGCCTGTCCTGGTGGAGGGCTGCTGGGGGCGCCGGTGGAGGAAGGGCAGGCAGCTGGCAGGCAGCGTGAGAGGAGGAGCGAAGGGGGAAGGTCAAGGTGTTCTCAGAGTTCAGGGCTGGCCCAGGGGAGCCCAGATGTTCCCGGAAGTGCAAGAGCCGTTAGGATGTGTGCCGAGGGTGTGTGCCTTGCAGCCCCGCAGACGTGGCAGCTCCTGGTAGGGACTGAGCTGGGGCAGCTAGTTCTCCTCTGCCTTGCTGTCCTGCAGTCCCCAGGGAGCCCCGCTCCACTCCCGGACAATGCACCAGGTAGACTTTTGGCTCACCCCTTCCTGCCAGGCTGCCCCGACTCCCTGCAGAGGGCCCTACCTTTCCCTGGCCTGAGTTTCCCTTCTCTCCTCCTGTACATTCAGTGTCGTTGCTGCTTTACATAGCCTGCCTTTACAGCCAGCCTGCCTTGGACGCCTAGACTTGCAACGGGACTGGGGACTGGGCTTCCCAAGTGCAAAGGGACACATGTAGGAGATGGGATGCATGGGGAGTGTGACTGGGGGATAAAGGAAAAGAGTTTGCCCTGAGCAGCCTTTCCTGGACTCCAGGTGCCTATCCACAGGGGCTCAGGCCAGGGCTCAGGGTTGGAGGGGGCCTCCACCCCCAAGGGTCTGCTTCGGGACCTCAGGTTGGGGAGGAGGAAGCCAGGGAGGGAAGGTTCTCATCCTATGATGCCCTCACCAACTCTGGGGTTACTTTTGAGGTTTTCTTCCTTCACTGCTGCCCCCACCCCCACCCCCATTCAACATAAGCAGGGTAGAGACAGAGCATGTTCCCCAGCTTTTAGTAGAAGAACCCAGGGACCCCATCAGAGGTAGATGACTCGGGATCTACATAGTCCGCCCTTGGCAGAACCAGGAACCCACACTGGGCACCTCCCTCTCCGGGTCCCCAGGATTTAATCCCAAGGCCTGGGGACATGAGGGTGTGGTCTTGAGATGAGACACCTCCCACACTTCACCCCAAGCTTCTGGAGTTCATGTCCCCTCTTCCTGCTCCCATCCCCTGGTGCCACCTTCTTATCTTCCAGTGAGTCTGGCATGGGGAGCCCGAGACTGGGGTTAGGGTTAGACTGGGGGCCACTGATTCCCTTTTCAGGATTTTAGGGCAGTTACTCACTAACAGCCCCTTTCCCGACCCAGGACACAGGCTCTATTTAAGGATCTGGCGGGAGACCTGGAAAAGGGGGCAATGGGAGGGGACTTTGGGGCCAACCCTATATGCCAGACTGAAGTGAAGTCTGTCTTTTTGACCCTTTCTGAACAAATTTAACATCACACCTTATCTTTCTTTCTTTCTTTTTTTTTGTTTTGGTACCGGAGATTGAACTCAGGACCTTGTGCTTGTGAGGCAGGTGGAAGAACCACTGAACTAAATCCCTAGGCCACACCTTATCTTTCTGTCTCTTTTTTCTGTCTTCCTTATCTGGATCTTTTCTTTCCCTTTTTCTCTTTTCTTTTTTTTTGAGGGGGGGGCATTTTGAGATTTTTGTCTTGCTATGAGATTCAGGCTGGCCTTGAACTTACTACAGTACTACTGTAATAAGCCCAAACTGGCCTTGAACTTGCAGCAATCCTGCTGCAGCACCTGTCTCTTTCCCCCAGGTGCTAGGACTACAGGTGTAAGCCACCAGCAGGTTCGCTTTTCCTCTTTGTATATTTCTCTCTCTCTGTATCTTTCTCTGTCTCTGTCTTATTCTCTCTGTTGCTATGTCTGTGTTTACCTCTGTGTTTCTTTTTCTCTATTCTCTCTCTTCCTCCACTTTTTTTTGGGGGGGGGGTACCAGGCATCGAACTTGGGACCCTGTGCTTTCGAGGCAGGCAGGCGGCAGAAGCACTGAGCTAAATCCCTGGCCCCCTCCACTTCTCCCTGGAGCTCTCTGTTACTCTCAGCTTCCTTTGAGAATCCCTCTCTATTTTGGTCTTTCTCATGAGCACATGCCCATGTCAGTCAATCTCTCTCTCTCTCTCTCTGCCACCCACCTCCCAGGTTGGCCACTACCCTCCACCTTCTCCCTCTACAAACGGCTCAGCTGAGCAGGAGCCCCTGAGGCAGCTCCCAGAGGTGCTGGGTGGGGCGGATGGGTTGCCGCTCCTCACCATCATCGTTGTCATCTTTGTCCTGCTGGCAGTGTGTATCGTAGTGGCAGTGCACTTTTGGCCAAGACTCCACCAAGGTCATGCCACTTTCCTGACAGAGCTACCTGGCCCAAAGCCAGAGGATGGCATCTACCTTATCCACTGGCAGCTGCTGGGCCCCCAGGACAGTCCCAAAGAAGCCCAGCAAGGACTTCCTGGCCTTGGCTCCAGCCCTGCTCCAGATGGGCCCAGGCCCAGCATGGATGAAGTCACATATCTGTAGGAAGGAGATCTGGAAAGTTAGCCTGACCTGGGTCAGAACAAGAAACTGGACCACGAAAAGAGCAAAAGCAAACCGGAGCCTGGGCAGAAGGGAATGGTAAACTCGGCTAGCATGCCTTGTTGCAGACAGGAGAAAAAGAAGCTCAAGGGCCCTGCCCATGGACATGCTGCTTCAGGCATTCCCAGTGCCCAAGGCCACCTTTACAAAGGTCCTCCCTCCTCAGGACCTCTGAACCCCAACCTCCTTCTCCAAGTCCCTGCTCTCCCAGCAGGAACATCAGAGGCCCAGCAGAAGCCCTGGATCCTACAAAACACAGCCCGGAAGAGCCGAGGCAGAAAAACCCATGGTCTGCCTTCTCTGAGACTCTGGGGACTCAGCGAAGGAAGGAGCATCTTTTGCCTTTCACACCTTGGGGGCCAACCCTTTGGCTATCAGGACCTAGGCCTGATGACAACCTCCAAAGCTCAAGCACTATTTATATTTCCAAGATCCTCTTTGAATGCCCCCTTTGACTCTGTCTTGCCTTCCCAGGATGTGATGGGTGGAGTCTAAAGGCTCTTATTATCTCCCACTTTTCTACATGCTTGGGCTGTTGGAACAAGCCTAGAATTTACCACAAAACATTTCCCAGATCCAGAACTTTCCAGCTGGTGGGAAAACAGGAAAGGAAAAGAAGTTCCATGGAACCTCTTTGGGGAAGGAAGGATGTGGAGGGGCACTGGAAAAGTGAGCGGGGAAGGAAGGGGCAGGAAAATGTAGGCAGGGCCTGCAAAGACAAAGCCAGGCCACCTGGTGGCTCCCTGGAAAGACATCCATTCTCTGGCACCTTGGAACCTCATCCAAGTACAGCTGAGAACATGCAAAAGGGGCTGGGGGTGTAGCTCAGTGGTAGAGTGTTTCCTGGCATGCACAAGGTCCTGGATTCAATCCCCAGTACAGCAAAAAGGCCCATCGTGATGGGGCATGCCTACAATTCCAGCACTCTGGAAGGCTGAAGCAGAAGGATTGAAAGTTTGAGCCCATCCTGAGCAATTTGGTGACTTAGGGAGACTCAAAAAGAAAAAAGTAAAAGGGACTGAGGATATAATTCAGTGAGAAGGCCCTGGGTTCAATCCCCAGTACTGGGTGGTGGTGGTAGGGATAAGATACTTATGGAGGGAACTCTTGTACTTTACCCTGGAGACCTCTGGAGGAAAATTAGTCAACCCGGGGGCATAGCCTCAGTGAGACCCCAACAGTCAGGGAGACTGAGACATACCTGCAGATGAAGGGGAACAGACATGGGGGTTGCAGTGTGTGCAGGGAATAGGCTTCCCTCCTGAGAGTCTGGTAAGAGGCAGTTAAAATGTTAACAGTCGGCAGTGAACTACCTCCCCAGCCCTTGTTATTTTGAGACAGGCTGTCTAAGTTGCCCAGGATGGCCTTGAATTTGTGATCCTCCTTCCTCAGCCTTCTGAGTAGCTGGGATTACAGATGTGCACCACTAGGCCTGGGAACACCTTCTTCTTTTGGGTCAGCTCTGTGCTAGACTCTGGTCCTATCTGTGGACCTAGAGACACTGTACCATTTACTTGTCACAACCTTGAGAGGAGGAACCGTATAGTTCCCATTTATACTTGGGCAAACTGTGGCTTGTTAAGATGCCCAGCCAGACATGGGAACTAAGTGGTGGAGTCAGGATTTGAACCTGGGAGCCATCAGACTTCATAGTAGGACACCATGCTTCAGGCTCATGGGTGGGGTGGTTTCTGGTGTAGGAATGACTGATGTGAGGGAGGATCTTCAAGTCTTAGGGTGAGATGGCTGATACAGCTGGGGGACAATGCACTGTCCCCCTTGACTCACTTCCTTGGCTCTGTCCTCCCTAGGGCCAGCTAATTTCCTCTGGCCACTGTGTCCTTGTCTGGAACATTTCTCCAAAATGATGTTTTATTCAGAAATTTTTTTTTTTTTTTGAGACAGAATCTCAGTATGTGGTTCAGGCTGGCCTTGAACTCATTATGTAGCCCAGGATGGCCTCAAACTTGCAGCCATCCTCCTGCTTCAGCCTCCTGACTGCTTGGATTATAGGCATGCACTACCAAGCCTGGCTCTGGCCTTGAACTTGTAATCCTCTTGGCTCAGCCTCCCAAGTGCTGGGATCATAGCCAGGCATAGGTATGCCACCATGCCTATCTGAGATCCTGTCTCAAAATAAAAATAAAAAGGGCTGGGGATGTAGCTTAGTACACTTGCCTAGATGTGTGAGGGCTGCTGATAAGGGTCAGGATATAATGAAACCACAGCAAGACCACGTACCTCAGGGGAGAGCCTTTGGCACTAACAGGAGAGCAGGCAGGAAGCACTTCTAGAAGCCTGAAGACAGCCTTCCTGAGAGGGTGGCCTGGCAGGAGGCCCACAGTGACCTCGGTATTGCAGGGAGGGAGCTGGAGAAAGTCATACCCCAACCTCACTCCCTTCCATTCCCTTGTCTGAGCTGCCCACTGACCAACATGACCAAAAGCCAGAGAGCAAGGGAGTCTGCTGATGTCACCAGACAGGTCAGCATCCCGAGGCAGAGGAAACCTGGAAAGGCCAAAAGAAGATTCCTGCACATCCCTTAAGTTTCCCCAGCAGTTAGAATTTACTCAGAACCTCATGGACAGAGTCCTCATAATGAGCTTGTGAGGCTGGCAGGGCAAGAGTTATCCTGTTTTGTAGATGAGAAGACAGGCTCAGCAAGGTGAGCCTTGCCAAGGATGCAGGACTCGGCTGGAGATGTCAAATCCAGGCCCACCCTTTCCTGTAGGTCCCTTGTGAAAGGAAGGGGCTCTGCTGGACATCCAGCCACTGAAGAAGTCCCCAGTCCAGAATCTTGGGGACCACCAGAAGCTCAGGCAAGGTGACCCGGCCTCAGAAGATATCCGTACGGAGTGGGAGAGGCTGATCCATCCCACTGATGAGGAGCTGGGGTTCCTGGGACAGTGTGGTTGAGTCTGGCACCGCTGAGGTCTCGGAGCTGCCAAGAGTAACCTCCTCCCTTTCCTCCTGCCGCAGGTGCCGGAGAACCTCCTGTGACAGCGAGAAGCTGCTTCCTTCTGTGGGTCCTAGGATAGGACATAGGGGAGAGAGGGGTGAGGACTTACACATTCACTCTAGAACACACCCACAGGAAATGGTGCCAAGACCCTCCACCCTCCCTGCCCTCTTCCCACCTGCCCTGCAGCCAGGGCAACTGGAGTCTTATGGAATCCCAAAGCTGGGAATGTTTTGGTTTGGTTTGGTTTGGTATGGTTTTCAGTTTGGTTTTTCTGAGGCAGGGTTTTATTATATGGTCCAGGCCAACTTTGAACTCGCTATGTACCCCACACTGGTCTCAAACTCATCACCCTCCTGCCTCAGCTTCCAGAGTGCTAGGATTACATGTGTATACCACTATGCATAGCTCAGAAGTAGCTTGCTTGCTTGCTTTTTCTTTCTTTCTTTTCTCCTTTTTCTTTCTCTCTCTCTCTCTCCCTTTCTTCCTTTCTTTTTTCCTTCCTTCCTTCCTTCCTTCCTTTCTTTCTTTCTTTCTTTCTTTCTCTCTTTCTTTCTTTCTTTTGAGAAAGGATATCACTATGTGGTCTAGGCTGACCTTGAACACACTATGTAGCCCAGGCTGGCCTCAAACTCATAGTAATCCTCCTGCCTCAGCTCCCCAGGTGCTGCAATTGTAGGCATGTACCACCACGCCCAGAAGAAGTGGCTTTTAATATAATGGAATTGCCACCTTTTGTTTTTGGGGCTGGTGCTCCAAAAAGGGCAGGCACCTGCCCAAGGTCACACAGTGAGGGAATGCCAGGGCCAAGATGACAGGCCTGGCCTTTTGTGCTCCATACTCTCTAAGGGGGCTCTTCTTCCTGCAGCATCCCTAGATGAAGTGGAGGGCTCCTGGATTCACCTCTTCAGGCTCCACCCAGGGCTTATAGTCAAAGACCTCAGAAAGCAATCTAGTGTCCCAGGATCTGGGGGGGGACACTTGTCCCAGGATCTGGGGGGGGGACACTTCTCCCAGGGAGGAAGGGGCCGGGTTCGACTCTTCTGACCACTTGGGAAGGCCCAGAAATGGTGCTACCATACGTCCTTCTGACTCTGGGAGCCCAGAGCCCCCAACTCCTTATGCCCTCCAGCCTCTTACCCTGGTAGATAATGAGGCGGCACATGTTCTGACACTCGGGAACATCTGCCAGGATGTCCTCAAGTGCCCGGCAGAAGAGCTTGGCCTGTTCAAGCCGATCATCCCGGCTAAAGCCAGCCCTGGCATCCTGTGACATGGCAAACAAGGTCTTCAAGGGCGTGGCATACTCCAGGACACAGGTGCCTACCTGGAGGAGGTGAGAGGGAGACCAGGTGAGCTGGGCCCAGGGCTGTGGGACAGAGTCCTGGGAGGTGACCAGCTGGTGGGGCCTACCCCATCTCACCTGCTTTTGCCTCTGACATAGCAGGACAAGGCTGGGCTAAATTCACCTTTCACATGTCCTGCTCCTAAGATCCCAGGGTAAGGGCCAGAGAAGGAGACCATCCACTGCCCCCGATGGAAATTGAGTCTCAGGGCTGAGCTCTGAGCTTCAACTATGGTCTGGGTTTCCCTAAACCTTCTTGAAATCATCCAGATGTTCTTCCAGCCTTCATGAAGAGAAGCTTTGTGGCCAAGAACATGGTTTAATTCCATTCAAAATTGTCTACTTAGGGGTTGGGGATTTAGCTCAGTGGTTCTGGCTCCTGCTGTGCAAGCGCAAGGTCCTGAGTTCGATCCCCAGTACCAAAAAAAAAAGAGGTGAAAACAAAATTGTCTACTTTCTCACCATGTTGTTGAGCCTCAGTTTACTCCCTTTTTTTTTTTTTTTTGAGACAGGGTTTCACTGTGTAGTCCAGGCTGGTCTTGAACTACTATGTAGCCCAGGCTGGACTGGAACTCTCGGCAATCCTCCTACCTCAACCTCCCGAGTGTTGGGATTCCTAGGATGGGCCACCACACCTCACAAATTTGCTCCTTTGAAAAGCAGGTATCATAACTGTCCCTACCCCATGGAGCAGTGATGAGGATTCAATTGGTGGTCATATATGCATCCAGAATAGCATCTGGCGTGCAGTAGGGGCTCAATAAATGTTACTCATTATCACCCAGAACTGAATCTTTCCTAGCATTGGGACTGACTGAGGAAACTGGCTGAGAGATGAGTCCTGAATTTGTCAGTGCTTAGCCAGGGCCCAGAGTTTGTGGGCCTGATCCCCCCCTGGGCCCCTGCCTCTCTGCACACTCACCGGCTGCCCGTTCTCCAGAAGCTGATAGACGCAGTTAGAGTAAATCCGCCCTTTGATCCCAGCACAGTCAATGCTCTGCTGGGGCAGAGTATGCAGGAAGCGAATGTTGGGATCCACCACACTCAGGTCATCAGGCACCCCACAGTCCAACGGGAAGAGGATGTACAGCCGGCGGCTCGCTGCACCCCATAGTATGTTGTTGTGAAGCTCACTGTAAGCTTGGATCCGAGCCTGGAGCCCTGGGGTCAGGAAGCCCAAGAAGTCATCCATGTTAATCCCGTCTCCTATCCAATCCAGTACTAACACCCAGGCCACTGGCCCTGTCAGGGTGTGGATGCAAAAGAATCGAGTTAGCTGGGTGTGGTGGCACGTGCTTGTAATTCCAGCACCCGGGAGGCTGAGGCAGGAGGAACACCACAAATTCAAAGCCAGCTTGGGCTACTTAGTGAGTTCAAGGCCAGCCTTGACTACATAGTTAGACACTGTCTCAAAAAAACAAAAAACAACAGAAAAATTTAAGGGTCCTCATTGTACATGAGGCCAGGGGAGCAAAGAAGAGTCCCTAGGGACTCTCTCATTCTCCTACTCCTACCATCCAATTCTCCCTTCTCTTCTGCCAGATTCCTGTGTTAGCTCCATCCCTTCCCACCACGACTTTCAGGGCTCTGAGAGATGGACAGAGCCTGGGAGGTAACATTTCCAGCACTGCTAGGTGCACAGAGCCAGGCCTCTAGCTCCAGAACAGCTCCCTTGGGAAGCCCTGGGACCAAAGAGAGGCAGCATTGAGATGTGGAAGAGCCACAGCTCTGGCCTATAGTCAGATGAGACATGCATGGGCTCCACAGAGAATTAGTCAAGGGCCCAGGCTCCAGAGAGGCCTGGGTTCAGATCCTATCTCCTCTCACTAAATTGTGTAGGGATGGGCAAATCACTTATCTCTCAGAATCACATTTTTTTGTTTTGTTTTTTGAGACAGGATCTTGTTTTGTAGTATAGGCTGGCCCTGAGCTCACTATGTAGCCTATGCTGGCCTTGAACTCACAGCAATCTTCCTGCCTCAGCCTCCCAAATGCAAGAATCACACTTTTTTTCCCCCCAGTACGGGCAATCAAACTCAAGACCTTGCACTTGCAAGGCAGGCTCAGTGCCACTGAGCTAAATCCCTGGTCCTGAATCACACTTTCTTATCTTTAAAATAGGAGTGATAAGCCAGGCATGTTTGTGCACCCCTGTAATCCCAGCACTCGGTAGGTTGAGGCATGAGGATTGCTGTGAGTTTGAAACCAGCCTGGGCTACATAGAGTTCAAGGCCAGCCTCAACTACATAGCAAGACCCTGTCTCAAAAAACAAAAATAAATAAATAAATATAAGGGTGATAATTATCCCTTCTTCAGACTATAAGGTAAAAGATAAAAAGCATATAAGAGGCAAGAGGTACATATTTGTCAAAAGCCTTCCAGGATGCCCTTGGTAGACATGAAGATACTTTGCAAAATGGAGGAGGTTCTGGATACAGAGGCTGGGCATTTTACTCCCCAGGAATAGGGACACAGAGGGTAGCCCACCTGGCAGAATCAGCTGCAGGTACCCAATGTAATATGACCATGCTAGCCCGTGGGCCACATTGAAGTTCCCTTTTTCACAGACTGCAGAGATCTCAGCTGGAGCCAGGCCCTGTGGAGAGCAGTATGGGGCTGTGGGCCCTCCTTCATGCAGGACACCCAGAGCCCTCCTCCTCCAAGACACTTTCCCAACCTGCTGTGGACTTGCTCCTTCTCTGCTGTCACTGGGCTCACCGTCTGAGGTCATTATAGGCTCCCCTGCCAGGACCCCACCCTTTAAACTAGCCCCACTCCCAGGACTCAGCTCAGGCAGGTCACACTAGCCACAGCATCCACTCAGCCAAACCTTCCCCCTCCCTGTCATACCTGGAGGCCCAGGAGGATGCTGAGTGCTTTTGAGAGGCCCAGGAGTGCAAGTGTCCAGCTGAGGGACAGGGCAGTGTCCATCGGGAGGAAGCAGTAGAAATAGCAGGACAGCAGCAGCACTGCCACTCGGCGGATGGGGCAGCCCAGGCAGGCCTGCACAGCCTTCCAGTAGCTGCCCCGGTACCTGCAGGGGACAGCCCAGCCCCAACTCAGGCAGAGAAATTCAGGGAGGGGTAGGGCTAGGAGTCAAGGAAGCAAGGCTTGTTGGGTACCCAGACTCCTGGGAACAGTAGGCAATCACCTGGAATGGATATGGCATAGCTCTTCGGCCAGACAGCAAGCCCCTTTCAACAGCAGGCCCAGCTGCAGGGAGGCGAGGTGGAACACCAGATATCGGAGAGTGTGGTCCATCGGCTCCCCAGTCCCCCAAAGGACCATTAGGCAGAACCCTAGCAGGACCAAAGCTGCCTCCTGGGCCCTGTGACCCCTGGGGCGTGGGATGGATGGATGCAGGCTGGAGTACAGCATCTGTGGGCACCAAGAACTCTGTGGGCACACTCACATCACTCTGCTGCCCTGCTGGGACTGTGGCCCTGGCTGGGCACCTCCCTCAGCTTCCCCTGAACTGGTGCCCATCATTCCCACAGGCTGCTCCTGGGGACACTTCTAGCGGGTAGCCTGGCTATGCATCATCCCAGTAGCTCCTGTCCAGGGTGTTTGTTGAAAACAGAGCAGCCTCCCCTCCATGCCAAATCGCACCCGAGTGAGACCATAGGTATGGTGCAGAAAGAAGGCAGCAACTTTCCCAAACCCAGACCTGAAAGCATTCTGTGCCACCCAACCTGCCAGGGACCCTGAGGGGCCTGGGCTGTCTTAAAATGCACCCCAGGGAGGACTTGAGTCACCAGAGCTCAGGGAGTGGGAGCAGACATTGGGTCTCATTTCTGAGGCTTGGGGTCCCAGCAGGGCAACTCCTACCCCTACCTTCTGCCTCCTGGACACAGGTTGTTCTTGGAAGACCACGGGGAGCAAAGGACCAGTCGGTGCAATGGCTACCAGCAGCCACCCGAGCCTCTCAGGGTGTAACCTAGAAATGAAATATTAAAACTGAAACCTTCTCAGCAAGCCCTCAGCCCTGGCACCCTGCCAGACCACTTGAGGAGGAAAAGGGTATTTCCTGCTCCTCAGGGAGACAGACTGTTCTCAGCCCTGACCGGCCAGGCCTGAGTTGAGGGTGTGGGTAAGGCTTGGAAAAGCCCCATTCCATTGCCGTGTTCACTTGTCAGCCTCACCTGCAACCACAGCCCTGCCACTGATCCAAGCACTGATAAGATCCAGCAGGACAGCACACAGGGTTGAAAGCCACGAACGAGTGCCCCTGTCTGGTTGATGAGGATTTCCAGATGCAGATTCTTTTCTGAACCATGGGACATCAGGAGGGGGTGGGGAAATAGGCACAGTTATTTCCTGGAAAACACAAAGGGCCTGAGGGAGGAGCTGGCGGAGGACTGGGGTTTGGCTCTGCACTGCATGGAGGAAGTTGTCAACCCTGCAAGTGTCAGAGAGCTGCTCCCAGGCGGTTTGTGTAGCTGGTAATGTAACATCCGGGGAGGGGCCACACAGGGCCCCCAGTCTCTGCATTAATAATTCTAAAGTGTTTCCCAAGTACTACAAATGTCATTTCACACAGTCCTCCCTGCCCCCATGTCAGGCAACTACAATGCTATCCCCATTTTACAGATGGGTAATCTGAGGCCCAGCAAGTTGAGATAACTTGCTCCAGGAAGCAAGGGAGAGAGGCTTTGAAGCTCAGTGGGTTGTTCCAAAGCCCAGCTTGCTCTGTGCCTTGATTTCCTGAGACAGGGTGATAGGTGCCAGAGCCCTGTTTCATGCATCACATCCAGTTTCCCTTTGTGTAGGAGCATCTCTGTCTCTGGCTTCTGTGCTGATTTGAGGACAGGGGAGGCTAGGGAGTGGGATTAGGGTGGTGCCCACAGAGCAGCAGCAGTTCATTCGTGCCCAAATTCACCATTTGCTGGGACCACATCATAAGCAGATGCAGGAGGAGACATGAGCTCAGATCTTCCTGGCCTACTGGGAGTATTATGGCTTCCTGGAAATCCTCTGGTTACTGGAAATAATTTCCTGAGAATGGAGGAAATTCCCGACGCTCTCCTCCCTAAAATGTTTAATGTTTAAAGAATGCAGTAAAGAGCTAGGTATAGTGCCCTATGCCTATAATCCTAACACTTGAGAAGCCGAGGCAGGAGGATCATTGTAAGGCCAGCCTGGGCTACATAGTGAGTTCAAGGCCAGCCCGAACTATATAGCAAGACCCTGTCCCAAAAAACAAAAATAAATAAAGTCACATTTATAAGTTGCTATGATTTGAATATATTTTGTACTCTTCTGAAACTCATGTTGGAGTTTAATCCCCAATTTGATGTAGTAAGAGGATAAAATTTAATTTAATTCAACCCTGATGTTTAGGGGTGGGGCCTTAAGGAGGTCATCAGATCATTCATGATTGAATAGTGCTGGCTTTATTTTATTTATGTGGAGGGTTTTTGTGATAGGGTCTCACTATGTAATTCAGGCTGGCCTTGAACTCACTATATAGCCCAGGCTGGCCTCGAACTTGCAGCAATCCTCCTGCCTTGGCCTTCCAAGTGCTGGGATTATAGGTGTGCGCCACCAAGACTGGCCTGGTGGCTTTAAAGCAGGAGACTGGTGGAGATAGACCCATGCACACTCCCTGTCTCTTGACAGGGGATGCCCTGTACCATCCTGGGACTCTGCAGTAAGAAAGCCATCAACATATGAAGCCTTCAACCTTTGACCAAAATCATAAGCCAAAACAACTCTCTTTTCTTTATAATTGACCCAGTTTGTGGTACTGTGTTATTAGCAACAGAAAGCAGACTAAGACATGGGTACTGGAGGTTAGGACTTGAGCCCACCCCCTTAAGAGCACAACCCAGTCTCTAAGAGGCTCTTCGATGTAAGAAGAGGATAGAAAGCAAAGCAGGACATTTGGCGGCTGTAGCCAGGGTCTCAGGGCCTAGGAAATGTCACATCAGCTGCTTGCATGGAGTTGTCCTTGAACTCAGACAGCCATACAGAGGGGCAAGGACTTGCAGCCCTTCCAGACTGACCATCTGGTCATCTGAGGAGGAAGCAGAGGGCTGTGGAGGGAAGTTAGGCCCAAGCTCCAGGCTGCTGGGCTCTCAGGCCAGTGTCCTGGTAGCTGCTGCTTCTCTCCAAACAGCCCGGAAGGACTAGTCTGGGCAGGCTTGGGCAGGCTTTTGGTTTCTATTTCCAGCCCAGTTCTTGCTCCCACTAGACTTCCCTGAAACTTGTCAAAAGTGTTCATGAGAGAAATCAGGGCCAGGGGTGGTGGCACACACCTGTAATACTAGCACTTGGGAGGCTAAGGCAGGAGGATCACCACAAGTTTGAAGCCACCCTGGGCTACGCAGTGAGTTAAAGGTCAGCCTGGACTATATAGCAAGACCCTACTCAAAAAAACAAAACAAAACCAAAAGAGAAATCAGCCCCTAGCCCCATTCAGGTTGCTCAGCCCTAGATACAATGTGGAGGGGCAGGGAGCCCTGTGGCCTCTCAGGGTTTGTCCACATCACCCCAGCATCCCTTAATCCTGCTAGAACAGGGCTATTGGGGGGCATTTAAATATCAAGTGAAGCTGGCTGTAGTGGTGGTGCATACCTATAATCCCAGCACTCTGGGAGGCTGAGGCAGGATGACAAGTTCAAATCTAGTGTAGGCAATTTAGCAATTTAGCAAAACCTTGTCTGAAAAAACCCTCTCTGCTTCCCACCACCATGCCGTGAGCTTTCTCCTCTGCCACGCCCCTCTGCCATGCTGTCCTGCCTTGGAGCCAGCTAACTATGGACAGAAACCACTGGGAGCCAGAATAAACCTTTTCTCCTTACAGCCGTGGGTCTTGGATATTGTGTCTAAGACAACTGGTCTCGCCAGTGTCTTCCCCAGCCATTCTCCCATTTGGTCAAGCAGAGACCTTTCTTGCACTTTTTTTCTCTCATGGGCTACTTCAAAGACAAGGAACCCTAACAGCTTATAATTATGAGAAACAGATGCATGGGAAGTTCCAAGTGGCCACATTGTACCTTATTGTTACCAGGTTTTGGGGTGCTCGAGATGGTTTCTAGGTTGTTTCTGTCCTGAGCAAAGAATTGGTCAAGACAAGTGCAAATGGGCCAGGGATTTAGCTCAGTGGTTCTGCCGCCTGTCTAACAAGCATGAAGTCCCAAGTTCGATCCCTGGTCCCGCCCCGCCAAAAAAAAAAAAAAAAAGCTCTTCTGGGCCAGGGATTTAGCTCAGGGTTCCACCACCTGCCTTGCAAGCATAAGGACCCGAGTTCAAACCCCAGTACCAAAAAAAAAAAAAAAGACAAGTGCAAATGGTAGCAAAATTATATTAAAGTCGAGAAAAGAAACCAGCTCTGCAGAGCAAGTTTGGGCCAAGTAAAAGTAGGGAAAGAAGTACACCCTACCACGTGAGAGGGGCCACCATGCAAGAGAGAACACAGTGGCAAAAATTCATTGTGGACCGTCCTTTTTGTGTCACCCAGTCCTCAGGCTGAGGTCAGGTCTAGGCCATCCTGTGCAAAACCTGCTTGAGTTCTCTCGAGAAGTCCACAGGCAGGGTTTTGGGAACTGCTGTGCACATGTGTCCTGGGATCCTGTCATTCCTTCCTTCCCAGCCAGTTTTAGCCACACCCTACCTTCCTCTCTCATTATTCCTCAAACCTGTGTCTGTGCTTTACCATCCTGAAATGCTAATACTCCTTAGGAAGGATTTCAAGAGCAGATGTTACTGAGTGAAAAGGTGTTACCCTTGGCTCATGAACAAGGAACTATTTGTTTGTAAGAGGATCTCAGGAATCAGTGTAAGGGCATCCTTCAGAGTTGTCAAACCACTGAAGAATGTGAATTACCAAAGCTAAACAGCACGTCTGACAAGCTCTGAGAAAATGGAGAACATTTTTAGTTTGTCAGTGCTTTCCTGTAGGGACTGATTACATATTTGTTTTTTGTGGGGGTTTTTTTGGTACCAGGGATCGAACAAGGGGCCTTATGCTTGCAAGGCAGGCAGCAGCACCACTGAACTAAATCCCCAGCCCAATGTCTTGGTTTTTTTTTTTGGTACCAGGAATTGAACTTGGCTCCTTGCGCTTGTGCAGCAGGTAGTGAAACCACTGAGCTAAATCCCCGGCCTGATTACATATTTGTAATAGGCAAATTGATTACAGAGAGCTTTCATATTGGTTGGCTATTTTCTGTGTTTTCACAGAAAAATGGTTTTTTTGCGGGGGGGCAATCTGGACATAATACGCAAAAAAATGAATCTTCATTGGAGCAGCTCTCTTTTAAGGAAAAAACTACTTGAAGAAACAATTGGCACTGCATGTTTACAGAAAGGAAAAATTTCTACCTTATGTAAGAAACTTCCTACTGATGTATAGAATAGAACTTGAAAATAACACTAGGGGCCAGGGATTTAGCTCAGTGGTTCTGCAGCCTGCCTTGCAAGTGCAAGGTCGCAAGTTCGATGCCTGGTACCAAAAAAAAAAAAAAGTGCTGAACTGCCAGAAATTTAGCTCAGTGGCGCCACACCTGCTTCACAAGCACAAGGTCCTGAGTTCCATCCCCAGTACTGCAAAAAAAAAATAAAAACACGCAAACAAAAAATAAAAGTGCTGAACTATCAACATACAACGTCAAATGGATGATCCATAATTTTATTTAACTAACTCTAAGAACTTTATCAATTGTGCCACAGTGCTCCCTTTTTTTCTCAGGCGGAACAATTCTAGAGTTATTTGTCTTTCTTAATTGGAAATATTGTGATAAACTGAGATTATCACCTTGGAAGAAAGCTAACATCTGTCCTAGAGTGTGAAACAGTGTTAAGAAACAGGATGGTTAGCCGGGGGATTTAGCTCAGTGGTTTTGCCGCCTGCTGCACAAGAGGAAGGACCCGAGTTCGATCCCCGGTACCAAAAAAAACAAAAAGGAAACAGGATGGTTTAAAAGGACATCTGGGCTGGGGAGTTTCCTCAGTGGTGCCATGCCTGCCTGGCAAGTGCAAGGTACTGAGTTTGAGCCCTGGACATCTTCGCTGAAGGACCTCTTCACTGAACCAAGACAAAAAGTATAATAAAATATATATTTTGTTAATAATATTTATAGACAAAAAATAATATTTATAGACTATTTGAACACTTTCAAAAAATTTTTGTTTGTTTGTTTTTGGTACCGGGGATCAAACCAAAAAAAATTTTTTTTGAGACAGAGTCTCACTACATAGTTTAGGCTGCCTTGAATTCACTATGTAGCCCAGGCTGGCCTCGAACTCACAGCGATCCTCCTGCCTCAGCCTCCTGAGTGCTGGTATTACAGGCTTAGGCCACCACACGCGGCAGTTTAAATTTTTTCTTTTAACCTCTTGGTAAGTCTGGAAGGCCATCTTAAGTTATTATAAGACTTGTTTTAT